TTTGCGATCGGTGTGGTGAGTCAATTCCTCATTTCTCCTTGTCAAGATCATTGGAATGCGGTCATCACGTATATTGAAGTACATCAAAAAGTCTCCTGGAAAAGGTTTGGTGTATGACTCCCATAATCATACAAGAGTTGTCACGTTATTCGGATCTTGATTGGGCGAGGATCTCCCTCGATAGAAGATGCTACATCCGGGTATTGTGTTTTCATTGGTGGTAACTTGATCTCATGGAAAAGTAAGAAACAAAGTGTTGTGGCAAGATCCAGTGCGAAGCGAGTATAGAGCTATGGCCTCGGCTACCTGTGAACTTATTTGGCTCAAGCAATTGCTTAAAGAGCTACAATTTGGAGATGTCACTCAAATGACACTAGTGTGTGACAATCAGTTGCTCTCCATATAAGCTCTAATCCTGTCTTTCATGAGAGGACTAAACACATTGAGATTGATTGCCATTTTATTCGGGAAAAGATTATGTCCGGAGACATCAAGGCTGAATTCGTTAACTCATGTGATCAATTAGCGAGATATTTTCACTAAGTCTTTACGGGGACCTAGGATGGATTATCTTTGTACCAAGCTAGGCACATACGATTTGTATGCTCCGAGCTTGAGGGGAGTGTTAGATATGATTAGATATTAGTTGATATTGTTTGATATTGTTGAGATATTGTTAGATATTGTTAATCACAATATCAAATAATATCTTTTTATTTACTCTATTTGTATTCTGTTACTCTTTTGAGGAGTACCTTTCTTTATTATAAATACACTGCCCTATGTGTGGTAAATACATAAGGAAAATTAACCCTATACAGTTTTTCCCTATATTCAACAAGCTTCATAGGTTCTTCCCACTTTATCCTCAAGTCTTCTAAGATGATTTTAAGCCATAGCAACTCACATATACCTTGTGCCATGGCTCGGAATTCTGCTTCAGCACTGGATCGAGCCACTACACCCTGCTTTTTGCTTCTCCAAGTCACAAGATTTCCTCCAAGAAAGGTGCAATATCCTGTAGTTGACCTCCTATCCATAATTGACCCTGCATAATCGGCATCGAGTATAGGCTTCAAGTTTCACATTACCATTCCTTTTGAATAGAATCCCTTTTCCTGGAGTTCCTTTAAGGTACTGTAAAATTACGTGGACGACTTGTAAATGGGTCTCCTTTGGGCTATGCATAAATTGGCTAATTAAACTCACTTGCATAGGCAATATCCGGCCTGGTATGTGACAAATATATAAGTATGCCCACTAATCTTTGGTACATATCTTTTTCAACGACAACATCTTCTTCGCATTTCCAAGCTTTAGGTTTGGTTCTAATGGGGTACTAGCAGGTTTGCAAGCTGCCTTACCAGTTTCCTTGAGCAAATCGGTGATGTATTTACTGTTGAGATATAAATATCCCTTTCTCGGAGTGGGCAACTTCAATTCCCAAAAAATATTTTAGTTTTCCCAAAGTCTTGATCTCAAATTCCTTGCCTAAGCATTGACTCAATAATTGTTGCTCTTCTTTATTATCTCCAGTTAATATTATGTCATCCACATACACCAATAATATTGTTACTCCCCTGACTTGGAATGTTTAAAAAACAAAGTATGGTCCCCTTGGCTTTGTTTGTAACCCAGCACTGTCATAACTTTAGTAAACACCGCCAAACCATGCACGGGGACTGTTTTAACCCATATAATGCCTTTTTCAACTTGCAAACAGTGTTGGTAGCAACATCTTTACCATATCCCGGAGGTATCTCCATATAGATTTCTTCTTCAAGGTCTCCATGTAGGAAAACATTCTTAACATCAAATTGTTCCAAGTTCCAACCATAATTGGCGGCAAGGGACAATATCACCCTAACTCGTGTTCATTTTGGCAACCGGAGCAAAGGTCCGCAAATAATCAACTCCATAGGTTTGGGTGAACCCTTTGGCAACTAGTCTTGCCTTATATCTCTCAATTGATCCATCGGCCTTGTATTTCACTTGTATAGACCCATTTACATCCAACTGGCCTCTTTCCTATTGGTAAGGTGACTAACTCCCAAGTGTTGTTTTTCTCCAATGCCTCCATCTCTTCATCCATGGCTTGCCTCCATTTTACGTTAGACAATGCCTCGAGATAGGGTATTAGGTAGAAGTACGGTGTTTAGGTTTACTATGAAGGTTTTATGGGTAGGAGAGAAATTTTTAAAGGACGAGTAATTTGAGAGAGGGTAGAGTGGTTGTTTAGTGCATTTTCTTGTTCCTTTTCTAATGGCAATTGGGAGGTCAGGATCATTTTGGGTTTCAATTTCAACCTGCACAGCTGAAGAAAAAATTGTTACCTCTTTTTGTGGAGTCGAGTTGGATTCTTGAACATGGCTTGATCCTGGAATGGCCTTAGTCTTCCTTGAGTACACCAGACTTCTTACCAAATTTTCCGGTTTCAACATCTTCTTGATCAGCTTCACAATTAATTTCACTTTCTTGACCAACTTCCTTTGCTTGACCAATTCCTTGACTTGTTTCATTTGTTACAACTTCAATTTGATCTTGTTTAGGTTCAAATATCAAGTCCGGAAGAATGGGAAAACCGAATTACTACTTTCAATATGATTTCGTTTAGGTTCAAATGTCAAGTCCGGAAGAATGGGAAAACCAGAATCACTACTTTCCTTATCTTCCCTGAAACTCTCCCCTTGAAGATAAGGTTGATGGAAATAGCCCTCTTGTTCATTGAAGGTAACATCCCTAGACACAGAGAATTTTTTGGATGGGAGGTGGTAGCATTTATACCCTTTTTGAGTGGGTGAGTAACCAACAAAGACACACTTTAAGGCTCTAGGATCAAGTTTTCCCCTGTCTGTACTATGAATGTGGACATATGAGATGCACCCAAAAACTCTTGGTTTAAGATTATTTGTAGTAGACAAGTTTGGATAGAAAGACGACAAAACTTCCATAGGGCTTTTTGATCCTAAGACTCTAGAAGGTAGTCTATTGATAAGGTATGTTGTTGTAAGGACAGCTTCCCCCCAGAAATTTTTTGGGACACTTTTTTGGAACAACAATGCTCGAGTCTGATTTAATAGATGTCCATTTTTCCTCTCTGCGACCCCATTCTGTTGTGGTGTTTTGACACAAGAGGACTCATGAATTATACCTTCTTTTTGACAAAAAGAATTAAGGACATGATTGAAGTAATCTTTGGCATTATCTGACCTAAGCCTCTTAATATTAACACCAAACCGATTTTTTATCATGGAGTGGAAGTTTAGGAAGACGAAGCCGACTTCGATTTTTGTTTTAGTAGGAAAACCCAAGTGACCCTTGTACAGTCATCTATAAAGGTGACAAATCATCGAGTACCGGACACATTTGGAATATTAGAAGGTCCCCATACATCGGTATGAACAAGATAAAAAGGGAAATTGCTAATTCTATTACTTATTGGAAAAGATATACGTTTGTGCTTAGCAAGTTCACACACCTCACAATGAAGACTCTCGACATCTAACTTGGTAAACAGAGAGGGAAATATAATTGTGATCACTCCAAAAGAGGGATGTCCCAACCGACAATGATAAAGCATGATTTTTCTCTCGTTGGTCATCAAGGATTCAGATATGAAGGAGTGAGAGATTCTATTCTTCTTGGCGAGACTTGGATCTTCGAGATAATAAAGGTCATTCCATTCTCTAGCATGTTCAATCATCCTCCCCGAATCCTTATCCCGAAATACACAATGATCATTGGAAAAAACAACTTTACATGACAAATCCTTTATAAGTTTTTGTATAGACACTAGGTTCGTGGACAACTTTGGGACATGGAGAACGTCTTTTAAGGTTATTAAAGGATTGATTTGGATATTTCCTTGACCAATTGCAGTTATAAGGGTTCCATCTCATTGTGGCAATTTTCTTGTTCTTGGGACATGGGGAATATGTGGAGAAGTGTTTGGCTAATGGTGTCATGTGATCCGTGGCTCCGAGTCCAATATCCAATAATGGTTAAAAGGCGTATCTGAGACATTTAATCCAAAAGAAGGTGAAAACTTACCTGAGTATGCCAAAAAACACATACCTGTAGGTTTTTCCAGCTTACTAAAAATGCAGCAGCAATGTAGGCTGCCGTCTTAGGGTTAAGAAAAATGCAGTAGCAATGCAGGCTGCCGTCTTAGGGTTACAAAATATGCAGCAGCAATGCAGACTGCCGTCTTAGGGTTTATCGAGCGCAAACAGAGCTTCCTAGATCGGAAGCTCTGATACCATCTTGAAAAATAGATTAACTGAAATATAATTTTTATTATTTCAATACAAAGAGATGATATAAGATATATACAAGAGACCTAAACTATTTTAGGAAATATAATAACTCTATTTTATGCTAGGATCCCTTGATTTATGGGATTGTTCCTAATTATTCAAATCGCATGCAGATTACAAGGAAATATACAAATTTCCTTATTTATTCTTTCCTAAAATACTATTTGATTTCTCACAATAAGATATAACCCACAAAGACAATTTTTTATTGCAAAGAAAGAAGTCATAAGGGATTGCCAAGGAATGAAGTAATAATGGTCATATTTTCCTACGCACTGAGAAATTAACCAATGATTTGTTTCACGGAACCGCTTAGTTGACGAGAAATTGAAATCGCAGAAGTGAAGAATTTTAACCTTCGCAAAGCAAAGGAAATAAGTTGCACGGTCCTTTATTTCAACTTCACTATCTGCGAAGGTTAAATTTCTTCCTCGAGCGGTTTCGCAACTTCAATCTCTCAACAACTAAGCTTGCATTTCTTCCTCAACCATTTGTGCGACTTCAACGACTCTGAAAGAATTCTGTTTCTCAATGTGTGCAGCTTAAATTTCTTCCTCAACCAGTTCTGCTACTTCAATTCTCGTTAACTAAGCGACTCCACCAAAGAACTCATATGCTAATTTCTCAATGCGTGCACAAGAAGCATGACCATTATTGATGACAAATATCTTTGTGTACTACATCTTATTCATCTAGATCATCATACTTATCGCATATTGGGACCTTAATATCTATAATGCCAAGTATTTTTCCAAATATTCTTCTAGTTGGTTCACTGCCAATGATGACTACTACAATGTCACCCTCATTATTAATTAAAAGTTTAAAATCAATATGGAGGCACATGAGAATCAAGGTCTTGAGTGTGTTATTTGCTATGGAATATGACCTTGGTTTTGCTATCGTTGCATCTTCTCAAACTCATGTCCCCATATTCAACGAAAGGTAATGATTATATTACAAGACATATTTTTTTTAATTCTTAATTATATTTTATCAAATTTAGTTTATGAAAAAAAAAAACAAAGATATTAGGGGATTTTTAAGTTTCTGTTTTTTCAACTTATTTTATTTTCTTTACATTTTAGGGAAATATATGAACAATTCCTATTTTCACGATCAGAGAAGGAAGTCGTGCACACCAAATTGATGGAGAAGATCAATTCAATACTGAATTGATGGTTAGTAATACTTTCGATTTCCTCTGTACTTTGTTTACAGTTGGTATTGCATTTTTTTTCTTGAAGTGAGAAATAGTATGCAATTTGATTTTGATTTATTAAATGGAGAGATAACTCAATTATATCATAGTTTGAGAAGAAATCAGTTTTTGGTTTTATTATATATATATATATATATATATATATATATATTTTTTTTTTTTTTTCAATTCCATGTTCAGGTTTAAATAATATTATCACTGAATACATCATGGATTTGATAGCAACAGTAAAGATTTGCTTGAAGACTTTTGGGTCCATAAGTACGTCGTCAGTTGTAGTCGTTTCTTTTTTATCTGATTTTAAGCTAAAACACTATATGAAGATAATACCATGGTCAATATTCTAATAACTGGAACCATGGACGCTTGGGATTAGTAAAGAATACATGCAACCAATATTTATTGCCTAACAAAAGTCCATGAAAATGTCTAAATGACCAAGTTTTTCTTTAATGCTTATGCAGGCAATACCAAAATCTCAATTGATTCTTTCTAAGAGGAGCAATGGAACCACTTACTTAATGGCCACTCCCGAGAATGTTAGATACCCTTAATTCACCTTCCTATACCTAATACATAATATTACAAATTTCATTTCAATTATCCACTGGTTAGATATATATACGCAAGATTTGATTTGGTTTATGCCTGAATAATAAACATTGACCAATTATACATTAATTAGATATCTATACGCAGGATTTAATTTGGTTTATACCTGAAACGTAAATATCGACCTCCACATCTTTGCCGACTCTTCATCATTATCCTCGTACATCCATATCCTAACATTTGTATCTATAAACAGAGCAATAACCATGGTCCATCCATATCCTAATATCTGCATCCATAACCAGAACAATAATCATGGTTACTTCTTTTTGAAACCTTTTTGAATAAGGCAATTCACTTTAATCTTGAAATTACTCTCATTTACTCAGCTTTACCAATTTACATTACTCATGTGTCCTAGGATCATGAACTAGTAGGTAACTGTTGAAAGTCCCACATCGCCTACCTCATATCATTTGGTATGGTTTAAATACATGTTAGGCTACTCCACATATTGCCAATTGGTTTTATGTTGGAACCTTAACATGGTATCAGAGCCAAAGCCTAACATCTTTCCGGTTATTGTCATGGGCTAAAAGTTGCCCTTTAGTTGGGTCAAAAGTACCCTTTGCCTGGTCCGGCAGGCTTCGTTGGAGGGGGTGTGTTGAAAGTCCCACATCGCCTACCTCATATCATTTGGTATGGTTTAAATATATGTTAGGCTACTCCACATATTGCCAATTGGTTTTATGTTGGAACCTTAACAGTAACAAATGTTAACCCAAATTCAATAGCTAAGAAGTTCCCCTTTTAAAAAAGAGGAAAGGGGACACAAGTGAAGGCATGTGCAAAGAGAAAGTAGCAATGAAATATAGCTATTAGAAATTGAAGATGAGACCTAGACAACATTAGTATACGTATTTACTCACCAAAGTATCAGATTTTCCATCTATAGAGTCATCATCAGGCTTCATCAATGGAATCCTTAGTCATAACTACATTACATAGTTAAAGAAACTAATCAAAGTAAAGAGAGATGAGAATAATCAATGTTTGGAACTCATGTAACTAACAAGGACGAAACTACTGATCTACGAAACAAAGACCAATTGAAGCAGCAATAATGAAATTTGAAGTTTCTTCAATTTGGTTATACCAGAGCAAACCTATAAAGAGAGATGAGAAGCACAAGCAATTTCTTGTTTAAGTGTAGTTTTAGAATCTCTTCTCAGGGTTTCATCCTCTGGATCCAAATCTATCCATGAGCTGATTTTTCCTGAATAAAATGCAATGAGTTAGGTGAGAACTTACACAGTTGTGAATCCAACAACAACATCAATAACAGGTAGAGAATTTAATCACTAGCAAAACATTTTAATAAGCAAAAGAAAAAACAGAAATAACTAGGCTCAACAAAGTTACCACCTATGATCCACATTTAAAAAATAAATATATGAATCGACTCACTAAACAAAAATTGAATGCAACATTCTAAAATTGTAGAAAACAATAACACCAAAGAAGCACAGACTTACATCAGGAACACAGTAATATTTCCATTTTAAATCACATAATAAGCTGAATATTATGTTTTATCTTTGTATTATGTTTATATTTATTCATTATTAAGTAAGAAATTGTTCTGCCCTTGCAAGGAGGAAGGTGTTTAAAGAAGAAATAGGATTACATTCCATTATGCATGGCAATACACAAAATAGTCTAAGAATAAAATTTCTTTTGGTCCAGGAATTTCAAACTATGCAACCTTGCAAAATTCACAAATAAACCAATGTGTTTTCAATCCAAGATATGGGAAGGTATGAAGGTAGAACATAATAGTTCATTCATAATATGAAAAGTTCATAATATCAATTAAAAAAAATAAAAATACTAAAAATAGTAGTTAATTCATACCCACTACATGACTACTCCATTGGGATGGACTCAAGACCAAGTCTGACCCAGCAAATGGCAGAACACCAGACCCCAAGCTATGCTTTTGCACTAAACTTGTTGATAAGAAGGATCCATCTGAATTGTATGATAAAATCTTATATGATAAAGAGGAAGTAAGAAAAGGATATTTCCCAGTAAAATAAACCCATACTTCAACAATGTAGATATTATTAATAGATGACAACTTACATAAGAAAATGTCAGGAATAGCAAGATAGACTACACACGCTAAAGAAACCATGTAAAAGGAAATAAAATGTTCATTAAGAAGCATTGTTTTAAAATCAGCAGGGGCAGCTATTTGACATTGCAGGAACTTGCAAACAAATACAGATGACGTGGCCACAATGAGTTGTGGTCGCAGAAATTTAAAAAACCTGAGCACTGCAGCCAAAGTCACGAATGAGGAAAATTTTCATAAAACTTTGATACTATACAATGTCCTAGCTAAGCCCTTCAGTATGGATTCGGAACTTGATTAAAAGTTCATGCAAAGTTTCAACAATTTACTCTAAAACTCTTAAGAGTGAAACCTCATTGAAACAGCTTCACAAGTAAAGCATCCGACATTATTATTGTAGGTAAGCTTATTGACCAGACATATATAGAATGCAGCATAAAGCTGCTACATGAGTGGCTAATTAGCTACTATAGGAGCAAATAAAACACCTAAAACCATGAACAAGTTCAACCATTACTAGTCTATTAAAAAGCTGATAATAATAAGTTTATTCTTTAAGCAAAACATGGCAAAACTGATGCCAAGGGAGATTTTAACTTTCAAAGGTAAGACTAGGTGTTGTGAAATGTAGCTCATTAGACCCAAACAATGAAACGCTAAAAGGCTTGCTAGTGGAGCTGCTTCACTGTAAAAGGCCCCTTCGTGCAATTTCCTTTGGGTGAGCTTACTGACCAATCACACACAAAAGGCGCAATAGAGAGTTGCAGTGTGAGTGGCTAATTGGCCACCATAATTTACGTAATTCTATTGCAGTTCACACTTTCACTTAACTTATCACATGAATAAAGCACACAACACGAACGCTATAATCTTCACTTGTCACTTCACTTCACCGATTTGTGATGGCAGAATATTGCAATGCATCGAAAAGTAGGAGAAGGAGACGAACCAGAGGTGCAACAACGAAATCGAAGCTTCCAGAAGAGAGGTTGAAATGGAAGACGTGTGGCATGTCATCGTTGAAATCGGTCTGCATACCGCAGTAGCGAGACTCGCTGCTTCAACACTCCTCTAACACTAATAACTGCGGTTGAGTTTGGGTGAGTTCAAGCGATTTCTTGCATAGTGTGTGTTGAGAGAGTGGTGGCTGGCGGGGGGTTTTGGTAGGGTTTTCTACAAGAAGCTGCTGTGGACATCAAACACTAGGGTGGGTTTTGGAACTATCGGTTGAAGTGATTTTATTAACACATAGTTAAGCCCAATTTGAAAAAGTTTTCAAAATGATGTAACATTCTCGTGATTGTTATTAAACTAAGTTTGATTAGTTTTCAGAAAATTTAATATTTAAGACCACTATATTCAATATTGTCTGAGAGCCTAACATTTTGTGTTGATTAAAATTTATCAAGAAATTAGATTAAATACTCATTTAATTTTATAACTAAAGATACTTTACCTTTTAATTTGTATAATTAAAAATGATTTATTTTAATAAGTATATATACTATTTTAAACTTCTTTTCATAAATTAAAAACAATACTCAGAAGGATCAAAAGGAATTAAAATGATAAAATATTTTTTAAGTATAACCATAAAAAATATTGTATAGCTATGAGACTAAATAAGTAATTAAGACTAATAAGTAATTAAACTGCAAAACAATAAAATGTTACTACGATTTATTTGTTAAATGAGATTAAAAAGTTTCACAATTTGTGATTTTTCACTAAATTTAGAGAATAATAATAAATAATTTATTAACATTTAAAAAAAATACAAATATATTTTAAATTAAAAATATCATAACAATAGTACACATTAGTGTTTTCTTTTTGCACTTCCTAATAAAATAAAATAAAATAAAAATCAACCATGCACTTGATAAACGTCATATAATTGTTTGACAAAATTTGGTGGAAGTTCGCTCTTTACTATTTTTTTATTGATTGGAGTGAAGATTAATGGAAGTTCACTCACAACTGTTTTGAAATAATATTTAAAGGGAACAAACAAAATCAATAAACTTTTACACTTGTTATTAATTTTGTTTTCTTAATCTATACCTATATTTATATAATACAAAGAGTAGGAAACTATATGCGCTGACGCAGCGAAAATTTTCAAAATAAATAAATAAACAAGTCATCTATCTAAAGCACCATTTTAAGAAAATAACAAAAGAAAACACATATTCCTTTGTTTTAAGTTTTTCTTTTTAACTTTCTTCTCGCACCGTTAACTCTTGTGTTTCTCTATAAAACCATATATATTTTTTAATAATATGACAGAACACATCTAATTTTCGAATTATGATAGAACATATAAACAAAGTAAACTAACAAATGTAACACTAACGAGTTTTGAGTGGTTGTTCTCCCTCTTTTTCTATATATATATATATATATATATATATATATATATATATATATATATATATTATGCCTATATTCATTTGTGACTTCTTAGGCAGAATGGTTTTGGAGATATCCACGAAATAATCTTGAAAAATATATCTACGTGAAGGATGACAACAAAATTGTAATTATATAAACTTTGAGAGTAAATGAAGGTTAATTTGTATTAAGATTTTTTCGAGTCATATGTTGCACGTTTGTTTATACAAACTTTGATTTATATATTGGTTTTTGACAAATTTAACTATTTTTTTAAGTAAAAAATGATATTTCTAGTACAAGTATCTAGTCTGTACTTTTAAGCAACAAATTATAAACTTGTGTAAACAAAAATCTTAAACTTTTAAATTTATCGAAATTTAAGAACTGCATTGAGTGTATTTAAGTAATTAAGCAGCAAAAGAGAAGGACTTAAAATTAATAGATATAGTATTTTGTTTTGTTTTGTTCTTCTATCTTACATTATCCTAATAACTCTTTAACATAATTACTTTAGGATTATTTATACTTAATTTTAGGAATGGCAAAGCAGGTCAGTCCGCGCCGTTTTTGTCCGTCTCACCTTTGACCCACAAAAACGAGGCGGGTGGGTCGACCGTTATAGTCATGACGGGTTGTAAACCTTGGTCCGTTCAGCCAAGGGTGGGTTGGCGGGTTGACTCGCCATAATTTAGAAAAAAATAATTTATTTTTTAAAATAAATTTTTAAAATAAATTTAATAATAATATTATTATTTGTTTGTCAATAATTCAATATATATATATATATATTATTTTAATTTAATAATATAAATCAATACATTATTTTAAGAAATTATAATTTAGAACAATAATAAAATTTACATAATAACAAATATATATATATATATATAACATTAAAACTTATAAAATTTATATTTTTTATATTGAAAATTTTAAATACCTATATCTTTTTTATTTGATAAAACTTCATATTATTTTTGGTTGAGTAATTTTTACACCTTTAATTCAAGTCATAAAGATAAAAATAATCGAGTGTTTAGGATGAACAAGAAAAACAAGAGAGAAAAGATTATGTTTCAAGTAAGGAAAATATTTTTTGTGAGAGTTAAACTTTTTTAATTTTTTTTTAATTTTTAACTTTATATATTATCTTTATAATTAATTTTATTATAATAAAAAATTGTTTTTTATTAATTATGTGGGCTACTGGGTTGGCTCGCTCGCCTCATGCGGTTGGTCCGTCGGGTTAGCGAGCTTAGCGGGCGGGCCAAGCGAACCAGCGGCTGAAAACACCAACTCACCCCGATCATATTATGGCGGCCCGCTGACTCGACACATTTTGTCATCCCTACTTGATTTAGAAGTCCAGACATCTACATGTGTGAAAATGACGAGTTCCAAAGGGATAAAAATGTGATAACAATGTTTTTTTATGCATATTTGGAAATTAAATTTTTAATAGTGTAAACTTATTTTTTTTTCTTTAAATAATGGTTAAGTAGGTAATTTAGGTTCTTAATTTTTGTTAAATGATTTAATGTGGTTTCAGAAAATTTAAAATTTTCAATTTAGACATAAATATTTAAATTGATGTCAATTTTGGACTACAGTTATTTATGTTTTGACTCGTTATATTAGATGCCTAATTGGAGTATTAGTTTTGATGTGGTTAGGTGATTGATTATAGTTATGTGATAGATTTGTCATGTCACATTAAAATTGTAAGAAAAAAGGAATAGAGTCGCTTATTTTCTTCGTTTGACTCATTTTTCGTCTCTACCTTCTCGTCGACTATAGTCACTTATCATCGTTTCTCTCTCGTCATCGCCGTTTGTTCGTCGTCGCAATAGGTTGTAGGTAGTCATTCCCGCGTGCTCGACTTCGTCGTCGCAGACCTCCCATCGTCGTTGGAACACAATTCGCTCCATCGATATGGTCATAGCAAACCCTACATAGAACCAACCTCCTCCTCCTTCCTCACAGTTAATCTCACATACGAAGGCGATTGGAACCCTAAATCCCTACTGTCATCACAAATAGAACTCTCATCTCCCCTGTTGTTGCAGATCCTCTCACTTTCGCTCATCACAAGCTCTCAATTGTTCAAATCCTAAACACATCCGCGACCCTATTCTTTTTTTTGTAATTTTAATGTGATGTGACAAATTTGTCATATAACTATAACCAATCATCTAATCACATAAGAATGATATTTCAACTAGACATCTAATACAACAGAGTCAAAACATATATAACTCGTTGTCCAAAATTGACATCAATTTCAATATTCATGTCTAAATTAAAAATTTTGGTACTTCATTAAAATATTAAAACATTTTAATAAAATGAAGGAATTAAATTACCTATTATCCTTAAATCTTCTTTCAAAACAGTTGAGAGTGAACCTTGTTAATCTTCCCTCCAATCAATAAAAAAATGATAAATAGCGAATTTCCACCAAAATTTGCCAAAGAATTATATGACGTTTATAAAATGCACGGCTGTTATTTTTTATTTTTTTTATTTGCGTAGAGAAGACACTAACGTACCATTGTTATAATATTTTTAATTTAAAATATATTTGTGAAAACACTGAAGTTTTTTTTTAATAATGTAAAAAATGTTAACACATTATTTATTACTATTCACTAAAATCAGTGAAAAATCACAAAGTGTGTAATTTTTTCATTTCACTTAACAAATCTGAGTAATATGTTATAGTTTTTTTAGTTTAATTACTCATTTAGTCCCATATTATACACTATTTTTCATGGTTATACTTAAAAATTATTTTATTATTTTAATTCCTTTTAGTTCTTATGAGTATTGTTTTTAATTTCTTTTTAAAAAATTAGATAGTATGTATACATATTAAAATGAATAATTTGTAAGTATCAAAGGTAAAAGGTAAAATCTCTTTAGTTATAATATTAATTGAGTATTTATTCTAATTTTTTGATAAACTTTAATCAATACAAAATGTTAGGTTTTCTGAAAATATTAAATATAGTGGTCTTAAATATTAGATTTTCTGAGTATTAATCAAACTTAATTTAATTATAATCACTGGTTACATTATTTTGAATTTTTTTTCAGTTTGGGCTTAATTCAGAGTTAGTAAAATCACTTATAGTTCCAAAAAGCCCACCCTCTATATCAGAAACCCTAGTGTTTGGTGTCCATAGCAGCTTCTTGTACAAAACCCTACCAAAACCCTCCACCACTCTCTCACCACACACTATGCAAGAAATCGCTTGAACGCAGTATATATATAGCCCCAAACTCAACCGCAATTATTAGTGTTAGAGAAGTGTTGAATCAGCGAAAATGCCTCTCGGAGAAAGGTTAGGGGATAAGAGCGATTCTCGCTACTGTGGTGTGGAGACCGATTTCAACGATGATATGGCACACGTCTTCCATTTCAACCTATTTTCTGGAAGCTTCGATTTCGTTGTTGCTCCTTTGGTTCGTCTCCTTCTCCTATTTTTAGATGCATTGCAATATTCTGCCATCACAAATTGGTGAAGTGAAGTGACAAGGGAAGATTATAGCGTTCGTGTTGTGTGTTTTATTCATGTGATAAGTTAAGTGAAAGTGTGAACTGCAATGGAGTTAGGTAAATTATGGTAGCCAATTAGCCACTCACACTGCAACTTTCTGTTGCGCCTTTGTGTGTGATTGGTCAGTAAGCTCACCTAAAGGAAATTGCTCGAAGGGGCCTTTTACAGTGAAGCAGCTCTACTAGCGAGCCTTTTAGGGTTTCATTGTGTGGCTCCAATGAACTGCATTTCACAACACCTAGTCTTACCTTTGAAAGTTAAAATCTCCATTGGCTTCAGTTTTACCGTGTTTTGCACAAAGAATAAACGTATTATTATCAGTTTTTGAGTAGACAAGTAATGACTGAACTTGTTCATGGTTTTAGGTGTGTTTTGTTTGCTCCCATGGTAGCTAATTAGCCAGTCATGTAGCAGCTTTTTGCTGCATTCTATATATGTCTGTCAGTAGTGATAATGTCTGATGCTATCCTTGCATGAACTTTTAATCAAGTTCCGAATCCGTGCCTACTGAAGGTGCTTAACTAGGACTTTGGATAGTATCAAAGTTTTATGAAAACTTTACTCTTCCGTCACTTTGGTTGCAGTGCCGAGGTTTTTTAAAATTCTGCAACACCAACTCATTGTGGCAACATCATCTACATTTGTTTACAAGTTCCTGGAATGTTTAATAGCTACCCCTGTTGATTTTAAAACTATGCTTCTTAATGAACAGTTTATTTCCTTTCATATGGTTTCTTCAGCGTGTGCAGTCAATCTTGCTATTGCTGACATTTTTTTATGTAGGTTGTCATCTATTAATAATATCTACATTGTTGAAGTATAGCTTTATTTTGCTGGGAAATGATCCTTTTCTTACTCCCTGTTTATCATATATGATTTTATCATACAATTCAGATGGATCCTTCTTATCGACCAAGTTTAATGCAAAAAGATGGTTTGGGGTCTGGTGTTCTGCCATTTGCTGGGTCAGACTTGGTCTTGAGTCCATCCCAATGGAGTAGTCATGTAGTGGGTATGAATTACCAATTATTTTTAACATTTGTATTTTTTAATTGATATTATGAACTTTTCATATTTTATTAAGAAATCTAATCTTATACCTTCACACCTTTCCATATCATGGATTGAAAGCACATTGATTTATTTGTGAATTTTGCAAGGCTGCATAGTTTGAAATTTCTGTTGGACCAACAGAAATTTCATTCTTAGATTATTTTGTGTATTGCCATTACATAATGGAATTTAATCCTATTTCTTCTTTAAAAACCTTCCTCGTGGGCAAGGGCAGGGCAATTTCTTACTTAATATTGAATAAATATAAAGATAATACAAAGTTAAAACATAATATTCATCTTATAATGTGATTTAAAATGGAAAAATTACTGTGTTCCTGGTGTAAGTCTGTGCTATTTTGGTCTTATTTTTTTCTACAATTTTAAAATGTTGTATTCAATTTTTGTTTAGAGAGTTCGATTCATATCTTTATTTTTAAAATGTGCATCATAGGTGGTAAATTTGTTGAACCTAGTTATTTTCTGTTTGTTCTTTCGCTTTTTATAATTTTTTGGCGACGATTAAATTCTCTACCCTTTATTGATATTGTTGTTGGATTCATAACTGTGTAAGTTCTCACCTATCATATTGCATTTTATTCAGGAAAAATCAGCTCATGGATAGATTTGGATTCAGAGGATGAAACCCTGAGGAGAGATTCTGAAACTACACTTAAACAAGAAATTGCTTGGGCTTCTCATCTCTCTTTACAGGTTTGCTTTGGTATAATCAAATTGATGAAACTTCAAATTTGAATATTGCTACTTCTCTTTGAATTACAAAAAGGCTTAGTGTTCATTTTCCTTCACAAAAGTTAATATTCTTTTGGGCTTTGATGAAAAATCCCATGGACTTTGTTTTAAAAACCCCGTTTTACAGGGTTGAGTTAGGTACCTCTTCATTTTTCTAATAGGCTTTAAAAATTTTGATTACCTATAATATTTTTTTCATTCCTTTATTTTTCATGTATATACTTATGGTACTTGACACTGTACTACCGGTATGACAAATGATTATGAAGATGTCAATTTGTTTTTTTTTTCAAAATTTGGATATGGGTATGGAATGAAGAGTGTGTGTGACTTTAGGTTATAAATACATTTCTATTAATATTATTCCAGTTAAACTTTTTAAATGAAAATTGTAAAAGAAAAAATGCCATTAGTGGTACATTATGGAATTACACAATCAACGTTTTTGCAGAAATATAATTAGTTATATAATTGAATAAATTGCAAACCAATAAAATGAAAAATCCCTTATTGGCTGACATGTACACCGTTTTGCTACTTCCTTTTAAAATGTTCAGGCCTGCCTGCTTCCTGCTCCCAAGGGAACTTCTTGTGCTAATTACGCCAGATGTGTAAATCAAATCTTACAGGGCACACATAATATTCAGGTGCCACTATGTGTTTAAGTTTTATGTCTGATTTATTTGTCTTTCCTAGATTCTTTCATGCATGTCGTTTTCTTCTATCTTATATTTATTTTCTTTAACTTTGTAATGTAGTTGTGGCTAAGGATTCCATTGATGAAGCCTGATGATGACTCTATGGATGGAAAATCTGTTACTTTGGTGGTGAGTAAATATGTACATTAATTTTGTCTAGGTTCTTATCTTCAATTCTGTATAGCTATGTTGCATCGTATATATATTGTGACTTTCTCTTTGCACATGCATGCACTTGCCCCCTTTCCTCTTTTTTAAAATGGGAACTTCTTAGCTATTGAATTTGGGTTAAGATTTGTTACCTACTAGTTCATCATCCTGGGACATGGAAGATTTAACACACATTTAAGCTTTGACAGAGTTGTTAAACCAAGTTCTTGTAGTAAATTTATGAGCCATGGTTTACACATGGTTTTGGCTGTAAAATTTAAAATTTTGGTTGAAATTGTTGAGTACCTGGTGGGTACTTGGGTTGGATAGTATTTATGATATTTTTTAAATATCAAAGTTTATGATCCTAGAGCACAAACTATTTAACTCACATGTGAGCTCTGGCTGAATGGTTAAACTCAATTCTTCTATTAAAATTAAGATTTTGGGTTTACACATGGTTTTAACTGTAAAATGCTAGTGATGGGTTGAAGATGTTTAGTTAGTCTACAATTTTCTTTTGCAATGAAGTCGATTGTGTTATTTTTTAAAATATTTTGTTTTGTTTTTCTATAGTACAAAAATAGTGCAGGTGGTGGTTACTTTGTTACTTTCATTCAAAATGACTCGTATATTTTTTTGTTACTATTTCTAAAGCACAGTAGTTGTGTTAGAGTTTTATGATTTATGTTCTATAAGCTCCGATGTTTTTTTTTTTTAGAACAGGATTTAACAACTTTATCTGAATTTTTAAATTCTTGATGGTAGGACAATTATTATTATTATTATTAAAGTCCAACTGCTTGACAGTGAACTTTTTGGTTCTTAAGTTCAACAATACACGGTCCTCAAGATTTGTATGGTTTTTGTCTATTTTTTTACTTGTGTGTAACCTGTATTTGTTGATGATTAAATTAATGAGAGTTGAATGGCTGGGTCGTGAAACTTTGATTTCTTTTGGATGAAAATAATTGGATTCTGATTTAATTTTTCCAAACTTTTTTTATCCTGATTTTAGGATGATTCTTGGGAATCCTGGAATTCATTTCGTCTGCTGTGTGAGCATCATAGTCAACTGTCAGTTGCACTTGATATTCTGTGAGTAGTTTAAACTTTAATCCTTTCATTCATTATACTTTGAGGAATGCTAGCATCATTCTTTTTACCATTTACTGGAATTTATTGGAAGTCATACATTTTGGTGTTTCAGATAGTAACCCATACTTTTTACACTGATCTTGGATTTTGTTGCTTTCTTTTATTCCTAATTGCGATGTTTGTTTAATAATGATGTGAATATATTTTGAGTTCCCAAATCACTGGTGTTTCTTGGAAATTTGTTCATTAGGAGTACTCTTCCTTCCACGAATTCACTGGGACGATGGTTTGGGGAGCCTGTTAGAGGAGCTATATTAAATACCGATGTAAGTAAAACTTATAGTTTATCAAATCTCAGCTATGGTGTTATTGTTTCTTTGACACATCATAATGGTTTTTATTGGAATTTTGGCAGTGCTTCCTAACTAATTCTCATGGCTGTCCATGCCTCTCCAAGCGCCACCAGAGGTTAATTACTGGTTTTTTTAATCATTCTATTCAGGTAAAACCATTTAAACTCTTATAATATTGTATTACAAATATAAATACGGTATTTTGCAATTTCTACTGTCTTGTTGTCTTATTAATCTTACTTGTCATGTTATTTCCCCTGGAAACTGCATTGCTGCTTAATTGATTACAAGAAATATAATTTAAGTTCATTTTTTTTTTCCTTCAAAAGGATGCTGAGCTAATTTGAAACAACTGTGTAGATCATTATATCTGGAAATTCTGTTCATCCAGAAGCAAGTATGGATGCAAATGATAGTTCTTATAAAGGTAAGTAATTTTCTTTGTTTATAAATTTATTATCTCAATTTTGAAGATCAATAGTTAGAATATCTTATTCTGTCCATTAAACTAGTTTTTCAATGTTTTACTAATATACGGATCTCTTACATTATTTGTGTGTCCCTCGTGCATATTCTTGTACCTTCATGTAGGAAATGTGAAAGTTTTTTATTTGTTGTTCCACTGTTTTTGAAAATATGCGACCCTTAGCTAGAATCTTCTGTTTAAATTCTGTATTTTTGCATGTCAGATTCACAAAGACATCCCTTGCGGCCTTATCTGGATTATGTTGGATATCTATACCAAAGAATGGATCCTCTTCTTGAGCAAGAACGGTTTGAGGTATCTATCTTGACATTTTTTAAATTTATAGGCATGGCATTATATGCTATTGTATTCCTCTTGACCCTCTCAACATTTGTGCCAGCTTGGTTACAGGGATTTTTTACAGTCACCCTTGCAAGTAAGCATTTTTTGCCCTGCCTTCTTTCTACGTGGTTATTGGTTTCTATGTTGCTATCTAATTAGTCTGTGCTGTCAGATAAATAATTTTTGTAAGTTTTACAATTTTGTAGCCTTTGATGGATAATTTAGAAGCTCAGACTTATGAGACTTTTGAGAAAGATGCAGTGAAATACATTCAGGTATGACAATGTATGCATGATATTCTTAACTTAATGTATCTAGTTGATGAGTATATTTTCTGTTTTCGATGTATGGGTCCCCTAAATTATATTTATCGATCTATTTTGCTGCCTAGAGTACTTATTGAAGATAGAAGTAGATTAGGTATCTATAGCTCTTTTGTTGACGTGACTAACATTATGAAAGGGCTTATCCTAGTGTTCAACCAAAGTTTTTTTTTTTTAATTAAGTTGGGATTATCTTTATGAGCAATTTGATTTTTAATTTTGCTGGAAATTAAGGTATATTAAATAGAATGCATTTGAATTATGTGTGGTTTATACAACACTATTCTATGTGTTTGGCGTAGGATTATAATTTGTGCCCTTTTGATCCTTGTTTGGTTGAAAAATGGCTTTAGCAATTCTATTTTTTTGCACCTGGATATCAAGGCTGTGTCACTGAGATGTAACTTGTGCTTTTGGTTTTTCGTGGACTTGTAATCTAACTACTAGCGTTCCTTTTGACAGTACCAAAGAGCAGTTAGTAAAGCATTGCTAGACAGGGTTCCTGATGAAGAGGCATATGTTAAAACCATTGTAATATTTTTCTCATGTTTTGTCATCAATGCGTCTTTATTTATTTTTTCAGTATTTTTGGTATACATGCGGCAGCAGAGATTTGAAAGTTATTTGTTTTTTTTCCTGTGGTTAGGTATTGATGGTTGTTGGGGCAGGGCGTGGGCCTCTTGTGCGTGCGTCATTGCAGGTGTGATTTTGTCCCATAGGTTCATGAATTTTTACATATTGTTTAGTATAGATCACATTCTGTAAAATGTAGATTTTGATATTTCCTTTTCCTTAGTGATTTTTGTCATATTCATATGTAGGCTGCTGAGGAAACTGGGCGGAAGCTCAAAGTTTATGCCGTTGAAAAGAATCCAAATGCAGTTGTCACCCTGCATGTAAGTTTTTTATTTTAACATCTATGTTGATTCCATGAATAATGTTATTTGTACTTCACTGCATTTGCTAATTTCAGATACGTGACCTAAATATCATAAAGTTATAGATTTGTAAAAAATTTGTTGCACTTTATTTTAATAATAAATGTGATTTTTTAACACCATTTTTTTTGGGACCAAGGCTTTTATTTTTGAATGTTACTACCCTTTTTCCTTTGTTTTAGACATGTCACTTTATTGTTTGAACAGGCATTGGTCAAGTTAGAAGGATGGGAGGACACTGTCACCATAGTCTCAAGCGACATGCGTCATTGGAATGCTCCTGTAAAAGCTGACATATTGGTATATTTCAAATTCATACTAGTCCATTGTTTGACTTTTATTGTGCATACTCCAGTGTCTGATTGTTCTTGCTTTGAATTTAGGTTAGTGAATTGCTTGGTTCGTTTGGCGACAATGAACTCTCTCCTGAGTGCCTTGATGGAGCCCAGAGGTTTCTAAAGCAAGATGGAATTTCAATACCATCTTCGTATGTAAATTGCTTGCAGTCCAGTTGTTATTGATTTATCTTTCTTGCTAGGGGATTTTGTTTTATTTCTGTTAGGGTTATTTATTTTAAGTAAATGATTAATTTAGTCCTAAAATTTTTATCTTGTCATTTTGGTTCTTAATTTTAAAGAAACCTAAAAAAAAAAACTCCATAGTATTATGGGACTATAGTTTCTTTGTTTTGGTCAATCCTTGGATTAGAAATCAAAATGATAGAAAGGGTTAATTTTCCATAGTATTAAGGGACTATAGTGACAGCGAAGAAACTTTTCAGCGTCTGAACACCATTTTTAAAATTGTTTCTGGTTGTAATTTGTTGATTCCAATAAATTGTGTTTCACTTTCGTTATTTCAGTAGAAGTTGGGTAATCAAGCAGCCTTTTTATTGATTAAATTTATGTGTTTTCAATTTTTTTCAGGTACACAAGTTTCCTCCAACCAGTGACAGCTTCAAAGTTACATAATGATGTATATATCCTGTACTTCCCAATTCTTATGTCAAATTCACTTTTAGAAACTTATTGCTTGTGGTTGTGTTTCAGGTCAAGGCGCATAAAGATCTTGTACATTTTGAAACTGCTTATGTTGTGAAACTACACAATGTAGCCAAACTTTCACCCTCTCAACCTGTGAGTTTTTTCATACGAAGTTCTTCTGCTTCTTTTTTTTTTTACACTTCAATCTACTACCCCAACTGTCGAATAAGGCCTTGAATTATATTATTGATTCTTCCTTTCTTGTTAATCTTATTACTTTTTTCCTGCTCATTTTCTTGATTTGCTTTTACCTGCGTAGGTTTTTACATTTATTCATCCAAAACGCTCTGAACATGAAAGCAATCAACGTTATAAAAAGTTGAGTTTTGTGATTCCTAGTGACACTGGGTCAGCAATGGTGCACGGTATGTGATATGTTTCTATTATTTCAATTTTTTGAATCCAATTTTTTAACTTTGAGATTGACCTTGTGGTCTCCATGATCACAGGATTTGCTGGTTACTTTGATGCAACTCTTTACAAGGATGTGCATCTTGGAATTGAACCTTCAACAGCAACACCAAACATGTTCAGTTGGTATGGAAATTTTTTTGTTTGCTTTGTTTCACGTTGGGATATGAATTATATTTAAGTAGCAAAACAAAAGAAAAATATGAAAGGATTATATATGCTCCTAAAGAATACACACAGAAAATATCAAAGTAAACAAGCTAAGCCCCTCAATTATGCAAATTTGATCTGTTTTTAATCCATTCTACGTACGGTTTTTTGCATCCTTTGGAAACTGTTTTTATTATTTGTGTCCTGTGTGGTTTGTAATTACTTATTTTAATTTGTTGATTTGAATGACTAATAATTAGTATGTTCTCTTCGGACATGTCGAACAGAATCCGTTATGGCTTTCTATATATTATTTTGAAAGATTTTTATCACTCACGAGAGGATTCTTTATAACTATATGTCGATGAATATTAATCTATAATTATATATAAAGAGGATTCTTTTTTGTAACCGAAGGTGTCATCGAAAACATAAAAATAAAAATATGATAATTTAAAGAAAATATTAATTATGATTTATATATTTAAAAAAACATAGTCAAATATACTAGAGAAAAATATAATACGAAATTTATGAAAAAAGTGATTATATTTAAAAATATAGAAAAAATAAAATAAATTTTTAACTTATTTTTAAATAAATTAATTATACAAATGATGTGGTTAGGCATATGTATTTTCACTGGATATCTAATAAGATTTCATGGATTATATATTTAATTTTATTTGTTAATATTGCTATACTTAACTGTTGACTGTATGGATCTATGCTGCTTTTCGCTGCATATCAACCCTTCTCAAAGTGATAACATTAATAGTTGTGTTTTATCCCAGACCCTTTAGAAACGTTAAAGATCAGGGAATACGAATGAATTTCTCAAGCCGTCCATTCTCTTCACTTTCATCTGCAGGTTTGCAATATTTTTCCCATTAAGAGCTCCCGTTTGTGTGGGTCCTGATTCTACCCTTGAAGTGCATTTTTGGCGTTGTTGTGGTCCTACAAAGGTTTCATTATTTCTCTTCTAGCTTCTGACAGTTCATAATCTTTCTGGCTCATTAATATTTTTCTATTGAATCTGAAACAGGTCTGGTACGAGTGGTGCGTTGCTTCTCCTTCGTCGTCCCCAATTCACAATAGTAATGGACGTTCATACTGGGTTGGGCTTTAGAGCCTGTATTCTGTAGAGTATTGTCATAATGTTTAGACTTGAGTAGTGTTAAGTTTACAGTAGTGTGGACCAAAGGGTGGAAAGTAAACTCTTCGTTGTCGTTTTCAAAATTCAAGTAAAGCAGAATCAAAGGTTCTAGGAGAAAGCATTTCGCGGATCTCTTATTTTTCATATAATTATGGGAAATTTTGTTGTACAATTAAGCTATTTATGTAAGTAGTTTTATAGCATCCTCATTTATATTTTTTTACTTAACGGACACAGCTGTGTCTCCATTTAAAACATGACAAGCATTATCTTAAGAATTTTTTTTACAGCATCTTAAGTATGCTGATTAATCAGATTAAGTTTTTAATCAGAAATAATCTTGGAATGTTTTTTAATGTAAATTTCGTCTATCAGAATTTCTTTTAAGTTAGGATCCTTAAATGCTAATAAGTTTATATAAGATTTTAAGTTAGCTACTTCCTAACTTTATTTTTACTCTAATTGATCGACGGTTTGATATTAAAAAAATGTTACATTTTCGGGGAGATTTGTGATTTGATAAAATCTTGAAACTAAAACTAAACACTGTACTGTATTAATCTTAACGGACATAAAATTCCATTATAATACACGCAACGGGTATTGATTGCCAAGTAACAACCATCAAAATTGGTGAATGTGCGTGTCCAACATGAACTATTTCTTATTTTCTACCATTTGCAGAATCAGATATATCTATATGTTCGTGTTTACCGAAGACACTTAATGTCAAGGTTCCAAAAACCCATTTTTCCTCCAACAAACAGTTCTCTTGCACTCACAACACTTAACTTTTGTTTGAAAAATGTTGTTCAATTTTTCTGAGAGCTATAAAGAACCTTAAGTAGATGAATTAGGATTTGGGAATTGGGGATTTTTGGAACTTGAAGTATTGGGATTAGGGTTTTCGAAAATAGGTTTAATTTGAAGTTGAAAATCAAAATCTGACTGAAATAATCGATTAAATGAAGTGTTAATCGATTATTACAGAGCCAAAATCAACAGAACCCCAGAATTCTCTGTTTTAATCGATTAAGTGCCCTGTTAATCGATTAACTGGCCTGTTAATCGATTAACAGGTGTGTTAATCGATTATTACAGTGAACAGATATAGAAAATGTTTTTTCTCACTGTAATAATCGATTATCTAATGATTTAATCAATTAAACCCGAGGCTTTTTGATAAATATGAGTTTTTGAAGCTTCTAAAGAGTAGATTATGTACCGACTATCTTAGACTATAATATTACAGACTCAAACTCATCAAAACAGAGTTATTACACAACAATACAAGTCTTTAACACTCTAAGTTCTTTGTTCTTGAATCATCATCAAAATCAACAAGCTTCATGTCCATGTAAGTTCAACATCAAGTCCTTGTATGTTCAACAATCTCCCCCTTTTTGATGATGATCAAAATTTTCTTTTAAAGCCTTGTAATAACCTGTTTTATCTGTCACACTAACAAACACATTAAACATACTAGATAATATTTAAATTCAATCATAAGAGGCTTGAAATATTTCTCCCCCTATTTTGATTATAATAAAAAAGAATTCTTCTATAACAATCATAAGAGCTCCCCCTCAAAATATGCATAACTTGAAGATAACTCCCCCTCAATCAAAGCATTAAAAGAACACCACATTTTATTTTAGAAATGAAAATACATTACAAATAAAAAGCAAATTTAAAATTCTTCACTATCATCACTATGAAAATGTGCATCAAATCTATTTTCTAAATGACACACTTTATCATCTACATCAGATATACGGCGAATTATTTCCTCATACCGTACTCCAGAAAGAGTGAAGAATGTCTGCATCCTCTGATTCATATCAGATAACATGTCTTCCATAGATTGTCGGGTTTCATGATGAGCAGAGGAAGTTCCAACACTTTGGATTTGATCAGAGGGAAACTCAGCAGCAGGAGACATATCTTCATCAGAATCTTCATTATCGTCACCTTCGTTTGGAACGTCATCCTTGTGAACATAAATATCGTTGACACGCACCATTTGGAGTTGGATTAATGTGCTGTCCAGCATGCGATTTAAGTTATTCGTTCGTACTGTTTGTTCACCTTCGACATTTACTCCTTTGTATTCAAGAATGCGAGAGACAAGGAGGACATATGGAATTTTGAAGGTGGGATGACGTTTGGCTTTTAACATAGTCATGGTGACAAGAACGCCCCAATCTAAAGGCTCATTATTCATTATGGCATGAATAATACGAAGATCAATTGAAGAACGTTGAGCATGATTTGTAGCCCGGGGACATAGGATCCAGGCAAGTAGATGTAAAATCATGCGTTTCTCCTTCTTCAAAGGTCCAGCTAGAAGGAGACGCCCAATCTCCATGGAGGGGTTTCACAGAAAAGAACGGTATGTCATGATCCTGTCAAAATCATCTAACTCACCATACACGTTAATAACATCTTCTCTAATAGGAAAGTGGGCAACGTTTTCCCAAATATCATCATCAAGAATAATTGTGACCTCCTTTACTCGAGAGGTAGCAATTTGATCTCTAAATTTGAACCTAGAGTAAAATACCCTAATTAAGTCAGGATAATACGTACCTTGCATTTGGATGAAAGGGAGAACTCCTTGAATTTCAAGGAGATTAGGAAAGTTGAATCCCCTATTGATGAACTGCTCACCAATAAGGAACTTAAGAGAAATAATACCACGTTCCTTCCAATAGGACATAAATTCTTGTCGGCCTTCTGCATCAAAGATCCATCCTTCTACAGAATTAGGACGGGGATGAGATGATGGTGCAAATCTTCTTCTAGTGGGGATTTTTGCACGAGAAGATGAGGCCATTGAAGGATTAGAAGAGTAACAAGAAGATTTAAGATGACAAATTAAGTGAGAAGAAGGTAAGATTGATAGAATGAGACAAGAAAGCTTGATTTCAAGAGATAAAAGTGAGTAGAAATGAAATGGAGGTCCCTATTTATAGCCAAGCATCTCCAACGGTCATATGAAAGTGAATAAGGGTCAAAAGAGCCATTGGAAACGGATAGGAATCCAAACTTGCCAGGTTTAATCAATTAAACCAGTACCAGACCCATTTAATCGATTAATTTGAGCTGTTAATCGATTAATACTGATTTGAATCGATTAATAGGCGAATTAATCGATTAAGCCAGAGAGAAATGTCATGTTTTGGGTGTTTTGGATGCAAATAATCGATTATAACTCCAATTAATCGATTATTCCAGAGAGTACAACAAATTTTTGAGGTTTATACACATGATAATCTATTAACATCCTGTATAATGAATTATATCCTTACAATCATCCAAAAACTGTCTAATTAAGCGGAATTTTAAGCTATTTCTAATATCCCTAAGTCTCTTCTAAGATTATAGAATTTATCCTTGGGTAGAGGCTTAGTAAAAATGTCTGCTAATTGATGCTTTGTATCAACATACTCTATTTTACAGTTTCCTTTGCTGATATGATCTCTCAAAATGTGATGTATAATCTCTATATGCTTAGTCCTAGAGTGCATTACTGGATTCTTAGTAAGATTGATTGCACTCGTATTATCACACATCAAAGGTATGTCATTCAGAAATATACTATAATCTTCTAGTTGTTATTTCATCCACAAAATTTGAGCACAACAATTACCAGCTGCAATATATTCAGCTTCAGTGGTAGATAAAGCAACACATGCATGTTTCTTAGAATGCCAAGATACTAAGGATGAACCTAACAAATGACATGTCCCACTAGTACTCTTTCTATCAATTTTGCATCCACCATAATCGAGCATCAAAATATCCTATTAAACTAGTACAAGCATCAGATGGATACCATAAACCAAAACCATTAGTTCCTTTTAAATATTTTAAAATATGTTTTACTCGCAATTAGGTGAGATTCTTTTGGACAAGCCCGACATCTAGCGATACACACGGACAAAATGCATAATATCGAGTCTACTTGCAGTTAAGTATAACAGATGAACCTATCATACCTCTATACATAGATTGATTAACTTCCAAACCTGATTCATCCTTGTCTAGATAGCATGAAGTTCCCATGGGTGTGTTAGCTTCCTTTGAGGTGTCCATTCCAAAATTTTTAAGTATCTCTTTGCAGTATTTGGTTTGAGAGATGAAAATGCCATCTTTAAGTTGCTTGATTTGAAGTCCAAGGAAGAATGTCAATTCTCCCATCATAGACATTTCAAACTCTCCCTGCATTATCATAGCAAATTCTACACACAACGAATTATCAGTTGATCCAAAAATAATATCATCAACATATACCTGGACTAATGAGATATGTTCTTTTACTTTCTTTATAAATAGCGTAGAATCAATTTTTCCTCTAGAAAAATCATTTGAAGTTAGGAAACTACTTAGTCTTTCATACCAAGACCTAAGAGCTTGTTTCAACCCATATAATGCTTTCTTTAATTTAAAAATATGATTAGGATAACTAAAATCTTCAAATCCAGGGGGTTGCTCCACATAAACTTCTTCTTTAATAAAACCATTCAAAAATGCACTTTTAACATCCATTTGATATAATTTAAATTTCATCAAAGATGCATAAGCAAGAAGTAGGCGTATAGCCTCTAACCTGACAACAGGAGCATAAGTTTCATAATAATCAATAACTTCCTCCTGACAATAGCCTTTGGCAACAAGTCTGACTTTATTCTTTGTTATGTTTCCATCTTCATCAAGTTTATTTCTAAACACCCATTTGGTTCCAATTACTTCATGTCATTCTTCTCTTGGGATTAATTCCCAGACTTGATTCCTTTCAAATTGGTTAAGTTCTTCTTGCATTGCTATGCACCATTGGTCATCTTTAAGCGCTTCCTCAACATTTTTGGGTTCTATCTGTGACAGAAAAGCTACAGACATGCAGAAATTAGTCATATTTCTAGTTCTTACCCTAATTTCTTCTCCTTCCTTAACTTATTCTCCATCCATAATTATTTTTCCCTCTTTAACCTCTTCTCCATCCCAAACTTCTTCCTCATCCATACTTTCTTCTTTATCCTTAACTTCTTCTCCATCCAAAACTTCTTCTTCTTCCTTAACTTCTTCTCCTTCCTTCACTTCTTCCCCATCCCAAACTATTTCTTCATCCTTAACTTCTTCTTCATCCTTAACTTCTTCCCCTTCCCTAACTTGTTCTTCATTCTTAACTTTTTCTCCTTCCCTAACTTCTTCTGCGTCCTTAACTTCATTCTACATCCCAAGTTTCTTCTCCATCCTTAACTATAATATCCTATCCTATCCATCCAAAATTTCTTCTCCTTCCTTAACTTCTTCTTCCTTAATTTCTTCTCCATACTTAGTAGATTCTTCTCCATTCCAAACTTCTTCTCCATCCCAAACTTCTTCCCCATCCATATTTTCTTCTTTATCCTTAACTTCTTTTCCATCCAAAACTTCTTCTTCCTTAACTTCTTCTCCTTCCTAAACTTCTTCTTCCTTAATTTCTTCTCCATACTTTGATTCTTCTCCTCCATTCCAAACTTCTCCTCCATCCCAAACTTCTTCTCCATCCCAAACTTCTTCTCTTTCCCTAAGTTCTTCTCCTTTCTTAATTTATTCTCCTTCCTTAATATCTTCTCCATCCTTACTTTCTTCCTCATCCCTAATTTCTTCTCCTTCCTTAACTTCTTATCCATCCATAATCATTTCTCCTTCCTTAACTTCTTCTCCATCCCAAACTTCTTCCCCATCCATACTTTCTTCTTTACCCTTAATTTCTTCTTCATCCAAAACTTCTTCTTCTTCCTTAGCTTCTTCTCCTTCCTTCACTTCTTCCCCATCCCAAACTATTTCTCCATCCTTAACTTCTTCTCCTTCCCTAACTTGTTCTTCATTCTAAACTTTTTCTCCTTTCCTAACTTCTTCTCCATCCTCCTTAACTTGTTCTGCTCCCTTAACTTCATTCTACATCCCAAGTTTCTTCGCCATCCTTAACTATAATCTCCTATCCTATCCATCTAAAAGTTCTTCTCCTTTCTTAACTTCTTCTTTCTTAATTTCTTCTCCATACTTAGTAGATTATTCTCCATTCCAAACTTCTTCTCCATCCCAAACTTCTTCCCCATCCATACTTTCTTCTTTATCCTTAACTTCTTCTCCATCCAAAACTTCTTCTCCTTCCTAAGCTTCTTCTTTCTTAATTTCTTCTACACACTTCGATTTTTCTCCTCCATTCCAAACTTCTCCTCCATCCCAAACATCTCCTCCATCCCAAACTTCTTCTCCATCCCATAATTCTTTAACATCTTCTCTGTCCATAACTTCTTCTCCATCCATAATCATTTCTCCCTCCTTAACTTCTTCTCCATCCCAAACTTCTTCCCCATCCATACTTTCTTCTTTACCCTTAACTTCTTCTCCATCCAAAACCTCTTCTTCTTCCTTAACTTCTTCTCCTTCCTTCACTTCTTCCCCATCCCAAACTATTTCTCCATCCTTAACTTCTTCTCCTTACCTAATTTGTTCTTCATTCTTAACTTTTTCTCATTCCCTAACTTCTTCTCCATCCTCCTTAACTTTTTCTGCTTCCTTAACTTCATTCTACATCTCAAGTTTCTTCTTCATCCTTAACTATAATCTCCTATCCTATCCATCCAAAAGTTCTTCTCCTTCCTTAACTTCTTCTATTTTAATTTCTTCTCCATACTTAGTAGATTCTTCTCCATTCCAAACTTTTTCTCCATCCCAAACTTCTTCCCCATCCATACTTTCTTCTTTATCCTTAACTTCTTCATCCAAAACTTCTTCTTCCTCACCTTATTCTCCTTCCTAAACTTCTTCTTCCTTAATTTCTTCTCCATACTTCGATTCTTCTCTTCCATTCCAAACTTCTCCTCCATCCCAAACTTCCTCTCCATCCTTAACTTCTTCTCCATCCCAAACTTCTTCTCTTTCCCTAACTTCTTCTCCTTCCTTAATTTCTTCGCCTTCCTTAACATCTTCTCCGTCCATAACTTCTTCTCCATCCTTACTTTCTTCCTCATCCCTAATTTCTTCTCCTTCCTTAACTTCTTCTCCATCCATAATCATTTCTCCCTCCTTAACTCCTTCTGCATCCAAAACTTCTTCCCCATCCATACTTTCTTCTTTACCCTTAACTTCTTCTCCATTTAAAACTTCTTCTTCATCCTTAACTTCTTCTGATTCCTTAACTTCATTCTTAACTTTTTCTCCTTCCCTAACTTCTTCTCCATCCTCCTTAACTTCTTCTGATTCCTTAACTTCATTTAACATCCCAAGTTTCTTATCCATCCTTAACAATAATCTCCTATCCTATCCATCCAAAAGTTCTTCTCCTTCCTTAACTTCTTATTCCTTAATTTCTTCTCCATACTTAGTAGATTCTTCTCCATCCCAAACTTCTTCCCCATCCATACTTTCTTCTTTATCCTTAACTTCTTCTCCATCCAAAACTTCTTCTTCCTTAACTTCTTCTCCTTCCTAAACTTCTTCTTACTTAATTTCTTCTCCATACTTTGATTCTTCTCCTCCATCCCAAACTTCTTCCCTTTCCCTAACTTCTTCTTCTTCCTTAATTTCTTCTCCTTCCTTAACATCTTCTCCGTCCATAACTTCTTCTTCATCCTTACTTTCTTCGTCATCCCTAATTTCTTCTCCTTCCTTAACTTCTTCTCCATCCATAATCATTTCTCCCTCCTTAACTTCTTCGCCATCCCAAATTTCTTCCCCATCGATACTTTCTTCTTTACCCTTAACTTTTTCTCCATCCAAAACTTCTTCTTCTTCTTTAACTTCTTCTCCTTCCTTCACTTCTTCCCCATCCCAAACTATTTCTCCATCCTTAACTTCTTCTCCTTCCCTAACTTGTTCTTCATTCTTAACTTTTTCTCCTTCCTTAACTTCTTCTCCATCCTCCTTAACTTCTTCTGCTTCTTTAACTTCATTCTACATCCCAAGTTTCTTCTTCATCCTTAACTATAATCTCCTATCCTATCCATCTAAAAGTTCTTCTCCTTCCTTAACTTCTTCTTCCTTAATTTCTTCTCCACACTTAGTAGATTCTTCTCCATTCCAAACTTCTTCTCCATCCCAAACTTTTTCCCCATCCATACTTTATTCTTTATCCTTAACTTCTTCTTCATCCAAAATTTCTTCTTCCTTAACTTCTTCTCCTTCCTAAACTTCTTCTTCCTTAATTTATTCTCCATACTTCAATTCGTCTCCTCCTTCCCAAACTTCTTCTCTTTCCCTAACTTCTTCTCCTTCCTTAATTTCTTCTCCATCCTTACTTTCTTCGTCATCCCTAATTTCTTCTCCTTCCTTAACTTCTTCTCCATCCATAATCATTTCTCCCTCCTTAACTTCTACTTCATCCCAAACTTCTTCCCCATTCATACTTTCTGTTAGAAAAGTAGGCTGAGATCAAGAGGGGGGTGAATTGATCTTTAAAAGTTTTTCGCAAATAACGGATTATCTAATTCAAAAATTAAGATTCCAGATCTGTTCTTGAATTACAAATCAATCAATCAATATAAATGCAGCGACAGAATTAAAATAGAGAAAGGTTAAGAAAGATATCACCGGTGTTTTATACTTGGTTCACCCAATACCGGAGCTACGTCCGGTCTCCGACCAAATTCCAGTCTGGGTTCCACTAGATCAAATGTTTCTGCATTTACAATCTTACACTTAATCTACCACAAGAACCAAATTCCAGTTCTCGCACTCAACCTCTCACCAAGAACAAAATTCCAGTTCTTGATAACCTCTATAACCAAATTCCAGCTGCAGAGAAACCAGTGCCCAAATTCCAGGCACCAAACAATACAAAAAGAATGTAAAGAAATGAAAAAGAAGAAACTAGAATGCTCAAACCAGTTTATGCAATTCTGCTGTAAGTGTTTCTTCTTCAGGAAAAATCAAGTTGCCTCAAGAAAGATTTTCAAAGAACTTCTCAAAAACTGACACGAATCTTTCTTGAAAAGATGCTAAAGTTTGCTTGCTTGATTGCTTAAGATTGATGTTCAAAAATGTATATTTAAAAGATTCAAGCAACTCTGTTTTTATAGAAGATTTTCAAAACTGCTGGTTTAATTAATCTGTTAAAAGATTCTTTTAATCTGTTAAAAATGCAGTTTTAATCTGTTAAAACTTCTTTTAATCCATTAATACGTTCTTGATTCTCTAACAGATTTGTTTTAACTGATACGACAACGTTTGTATCAATTAAAACACTTTACAAAAAATCTTCTAAGTTGATTTAATCGATTGTTCCGCGATTCAATCGATTGAATACTGCAAAACTTTCTTGTAAAACCTTTCAAGTTATTTTAACTGATAAAAATAAGTTTTAATCGATTAAAACGCTGTGTAGAAATTTTCTAAGTTGTTTTAATCGATTGAAACGAGATTTAATCGATTAAAAGAGTTCTGATCGGTCATAACTCGATTTTGATCGATCATAACTGATTCTGATCGGTCATAATTCAATTCTGATCGATCATATCTGATTCTGATCGGTCATAATTGTATTCTAATCGATCATCCTGAACTCCAAGTGGTTTTAATCGATTAAAATCAAGTTGTATCGATTAAAATACTGTAAAAACACTTCTCTGAACATTCTAAGTAATTTTAATCGGTTCTATCAAAGTTGTATCAGTTAAAAACTTGTTTAAGAAAGCTTTTGTCAAAATACTTTGTTTTTAATTGTTAAAAACATTTTAGAGGCATTTTGCAAAATCTTTTAAGTGAAGAAACCTCATGCAACAGAAAAGATAAAATGATTATACCTAAGCATAGCTGAAGACACACTAATTCTTCTACTCTCTTATCTTAGTGACTTTTGTCCACTGCAAAGTTGTTTTTGACTTCGTCTTTGACTTCATCAAATCAATGAGATCTTTGCCAAAGTATTTCAATGAGATCTTCATCACTTTCAGTCTCCCCCTATTTGATGAAGACAAACACCACTTTTGAAAAAAAACTCTGCAAAAAAAGTCACTTGATAATACAGATTAGTGAGTAATAAAAAATGAATTATCTTCCTATTTCTCCCCCTAAATTGTTGCTCCCCCTAAATTTAGAGTTATTTCTCCCTTTAAATTGATCAAAAGTAAAAGCAACTATTTCTCCCCCTTTTGACTTCATAAAAAAAAAAATAGAGAACAGAAGAGAAACAATGCATAGGTATGTATTGAAAAGATTTTGAAAATAGAAAAAAATGAAAAATACGATACTTTACTCATGTAAAGATCAATCAAAGTTGATTCAAACTTATCTTCATTAACACGTTTGTAATGAATACAATTAACACGTGTAAAGATAAGGGAATCACGCTTTAGTAACATGTTACAAGAACAGCCATTAACTAAAGCCTTTAATTTTTCTTTCCAGAATAAAAATCGATTAAAAACAGGATAAAATCGATTAAAAAGTTCATGTTTAATGATTTTAATCGATTGAAATAAAGGTTTAATCGATTAAAACAGTGAAGGACTTTGAAATATAAAACATAAGTGCATTTAATCGATTATTTCAACATTTAATCGATTAAAACAGTAAGGAAAAATGTTGTATAAATTCTTTTAATCGATTTAAAAGATTTTTTATTGAATAAAACACTTAGTTTTGAAAACTAAGTAGTGTTTGATGCGAATTTCTCACGCCTAATCTTAGTGGATATTTTGTAACACTGATCAGCTAGAAGGATGTTTAACAATAATATCAACTACATCGATTAAATTTTAACTAATAGATCCATCAAAATCAAAATAGAATCTTATTTAGCTAATTCAACTGATGTAAACTAGTTTTAGTTGATTAAATTCATTTTGTATTAGCTAAAAATATCAGGGATCTATGTAAAATTCTATCTAGGTTTTCCTAATTCGACTTAAAACCTATATTATATTAATCACAGCTAAAAAAAATTGTTTCTGGTTAATAACCAGTTAACATTACAGACCAAAATTTGAAATTAGCATCAAAAGAATGAAAGATAAGAAGGGATAAGAAAGGACCCTTTCTGTCCGAAAAAAAAACTCAATCATCCCAGTTGCCTTGGTTCCACAATAACATCTGAAACTCCTTTAGAATTATTGAAAGATCCTCTTGTTGGTTTGTTGTTAGGGATGCCAGATCATCAGTATAAAATTGATCCCTGTATTTCCAATAAAACACACATACCTTGTGCCAATTTTAGCTTTCCATTAAATTCTTGAATTTCTGTCTCAGATCTGTCTCCTTACAGTATCACCTCGTGACCTTGATGATTAAAACGATTATCAAAGTTGCACAATTCCAATGAATTTCACCAAGAGTCTTGAACCAATGCATGCCCAAAATTATTCCAAATATATTGCTAGGTAATACCAAGAATTTTAATGTAACCGTGTGTTCATTGAATCTCCAAGTTATCTTTTCACACTTCTAAGAGAAATGCAGACATATGTAGCTTGAATCATGTCTGTGTTGTTGTCAAAATATAGTTTGTTCTTCCTCAAAGTCCATGTCTTACACTACATCGACCTCAATTTCTTCCTGGGCAAAGAAGATAGCGTTGGGCTTACCCCAAACTTTACATTTCAACTTATGCACATAACCTACACAATCCCTTTGTAATCATGTCAGTAACTTCCTTTCTAAATATGGAAGTTGAGGTGCTACCTTTCGAATCGGTAGTTGCTGAAACAAACACCTAAAGCTTCAAACTGGTTGTAGAATGACTCTACTACTCTCACAGATTTTTCCAGTTTAGTTTTCATACCTTCCAAAAATTCTCCCAAATCTTCCTCTTGTTGCAATCTTGATAATTCAACAATATCCTCAAAAGCACGATCATTAAATCGATATGACATATCTTATGATATTTGTTCCCAAGATTTATTCTTGAAACTGGGTTGATGCATGCAATGTCGCTGCCATAAAAAAAACCTTTCCATCCATGAATAACATAAATAACTTCCCACAATATGCCACTAGTCTAGTCTCCAATTCAAAGATTTTTTTTCAGCCTTCGCTTTCCAATCATGAGAATTTGTGCCATTGAAAGGAAATTGGATATGGGCACGTTCCATAACAGACTATGTCCGAAATTCATTCGGCATTTTTCATGATTGTCTTGCCGCTATTCATGACTGAAAGAAACTAAATTCTCTAATGTATACTATAGTGAAACCAAGGATTTCTTTGTTGCTTCTGATCATGTTTGCAACAGAGATTTGAGAGGAGATTTTGAAAATATGAAAACAGAAGAAAGATGATAAGTTGAGAGATGTTAAGTTCAGAACCTGGTTTGATGAAGAAACGGATTTCAAGTTTCAAAAAGACAAAACTGCAATGCTTCAGCTTTAACTGCAATTGTCCCCTTTACCAAAGACAGAGGCACAAATTTCTGGACGTTGGGCACATCAGCTATTTTGTTCTTGGAAAGATGTTTGACTTGGTCAAAGAATATTTAAAAGCATTATGCAGATTTTGATTACCATAAAAAACTTGGGATTTTGAATTTGGTTTGCTTACCAATCTTTAATTGGATGTTATAAAACTAATTTTCAGAAACAAATCAATCTATTAATTTGATCATTTAATATTAGGTTTGAAACTGTTACAGTGAAATAATCGATTATTTCATAAAGGAATCGATTGTTTCTTGTATATGATGAAATTAATAGAATGACAACAGAATTTAAATCGATTAAAACGAAAAGGAATCGATTAAATTTTACATCTTAGTATTTTTAGTTGATATAAATTCATTTCAATCGATTAAAACAGCTAAACTCAAAACCTGAGAACGTTTTAATCGATTAATTCGCTTTTCAATCGATTAAAACAGTACGGACATATTTTCTGATATCCTCTGTAAGTTATTTTAATCGATTAATACTGTTTTATATCAATTAAAACAATTAGTTTATGAAAACAGAACCTGGTTTGCAGTTTTGAATACCAAGGGATTTCCAGATTTTGTTCCTGCAAAACAATATTTAACATATTTCTGGTACCCTTTATAATTACTGGGTCCAATTAGGTTATTTGAAATGACTTTAACTTTGGAATCCATTTCATTCTACCTTTAGGAATAACATACTTTTTAATTCTACAGTATTTCACTGAATGACCTCTTTTCATGCAGTAAAAACATTTAATCACAGAGTATGATTTCCTATTTACATTTGTTTTTCTGAATTTCATCCTAGATTTAAATCCTATTCCAGATTTGTCAAAAAATAGTTTTTGAGATCCAAGTAAAACGTCAAGATTAGCTTGACCTTGTGTAAACCTTGAAACAGTTTGTGATAAAAAATCAATTTTCTTTTGTAATTCTGAACAATTATTACAGGATTTATTACATGCACAATCAGAATTATCATGAATTAATTTTAAGAAAT